GGACCAATAAGCAATATCCCAATAAATGGAGAAAAGATTGAGGTTGTCAGGGATTTAATTTTACTTGGATCCATGGAAGCAGTAATCAGGAAATCAAATGATGTATTGCACTGGGAAAATTGGCTGCAAAAGACCTCTTTAAAGTGTTAAGAAGCAAAGATGTCACTTTAAAGTGCGTGACACAAAGCATGGTCTTTTCAGATGTCTCATAGACATATGAAAGCTGGACAGTGAATTAGGAAGACCAAAGAAGAGTTGATGCCTTTGAATTGTGGTGTTGGCAAAGAATACAAAAAATACCATGGACTGACTGCCAAAAGAATGAACACATCTCTGTAGAAGTTTGTCTCACCTACTTTGGTCATATTGTCAGAAGGAACCATTCCCTGGAAAAGGATATCATGCTTGGTAAAGTTTAGAGTCAGCAAAAAAGAGAAAGACTCAACAAGATGTAGTGACACAGTGTTTGCAATGATGAGCTCAAGAATAGCAAGGATTGTGAGAATAGTGCAGGACTGTACAGTGTTTCATTCTGTTTTACATAGGGTCGCTATGAGTTGGAGCCAACTGGATGGCACCTTACAACAACAACACCACTTGAAAAGAATGTATATTCTCCAATTTTGGGATGTATTATTCTGTGCATGGTCATTTGACCATGCTTATTAAATGTAGTGTTAAAATCTTCTATATCTTTCTAATATTTTATATTTGATATATAAGTTACAAAGAGAAGTGTGTGGTAAAATCTCCCATTCTGATGGTAGATTTGTTCCTTCTCTTTTTTACATTTTTGTTTGTTCATATAATTTGAAACCATGTTATCATTAGAATGTTACATTTTCCCAATGGGTTGAACTTTTATTATTATTTAGTTAACCTCTTTGTCTCTAGTAATGCTCCCTTAAAGTTTGTTTTGTCTTATACTAACCATAATATTTCCTGGTTTATTTTGTATTTTGCTTTGTATTTACTTTCAACTCTTGTCCTCATGTATTAGCAATATCATTCATAGACAGCATGTAACTAGATATTTTATCAGTTTTTACCTAGAGTTTTTATTCCCTTTACATTTATTGTGATTACTAATATGTTTCAACTTACTTCTACCATCTGATTCTCTGACTGTTCTACTTTTTCTAGGCTTTATTTCCTTCTTGCTTTATTTTGTTGTTTTTCTTCACATTCTGTTTTTCATCTTTAGAGATTTTGAAATAATTACTCTTATTTCTGTTATTTATTGTGGTTACCATAGGGATTTTAGTATCTGTATTTAATTTAACAAAACCCAAAGATAGTATCTCTAAAGTTAATACAGGTACCTAAGATTAATTTAACTCCAGTCGCCCTTCTTCCAATTTATCTATTGTTATAAAGTATTTTTAACTCTACAGATTAGACATCGTTGTTGTTGTTGTTGTTGTTGTTGTTGTTGTTGTTATGTGCCGTCGAGTTGGACCTGACTTATAGCGACCCCTCCTTGGGTTTCCGGGGCAGTATCGCTACGGAAGTAGATTGCCCAACCTTCCTTCCAAGGAGTGGCTTGGTGGGTTTGAACCGCCAGCCTTCTGGTTAGCAGTCAGGTGCCTTAGGCACTATGCTACCAGAGCTCCTTAGACATCATTATCACTTTTTTATACAATATTTACTTATATGTACCCCCATGTTTACTATTTTTCTTTACTGATCATTCCTTATTGTATCTCTGACCTTCTTTTAAGGCTCATTTTCATTCTTCCTTGAGAACATCCTTCACAGTCTGCTTTTTTAATGACAATCACTAATAGTAAACTATTTCTGTCTGACAGTCTGTTTACCCTTGTTCTTGAAAGATAGTTTCACTCACAGTAGTCTAGGTAGATAGTTTTTTCTTAGCACTTCTTTTCCATCTTCTTTTGGCTTTCGCTTTTTCCATTGTATTAACGATCAAAGTAATGTCATTCTTTAGTATTCTTTCATTCATCTTTTTCTCTGGATGTTTTTCAGATCATCTCTTTGCCTTTGTTGTTCTACATTTTTACAATAGTATATCATGAATACCGTCTCTCATTTTTTATGGTTTTTTTTTTAATTGTCTATCTCATTTTCTAAAATAATTTATTTTGTTGTTGAGAATATACACAGCAAAGCATATATCAATTCAACAGTTTCTACATGTGCAATTCAGTGACACTGATTACGTTCTTCAAATTGTGCAACTATTCTCACACTCCTTTTCTAAGTTGTTCCTCCTCCGTTAACATAAATTCACTGCCCCTAAGGTTCCTATCCAATTGTTCAAGTTGCTGTTGTCAGTTTTATCCTCTATAGATAGATCTTAAAAGAGAATGGGAGCTCTGGTGGTGCCTAGGGCATGTGACTGCTAACCAGAAGGCTGGCAGTTCAAACCCACCAGCCACTCCTTGGAAGGAAGATGGGGCAATCTACTTCCGTAGTGATACTGTCTGGGAAACCCAAGGAGGGGTCACTGTGAGTCAGATCTGACTCGATGACAGTGGGTTTGGTTTGGTTTTTAAAAGAGAATAATGATCAAAACAGACAGTCTTTACTAGCTAAGCTAAACTGTTGTTTGGTTTTAAGAATATTTCATGGGTTATTTTTGGCCTAAGGTTTAAAGATTAGCTTAGGGCAATAGTTTTGGGGGTGGGTGTCTCACACTTCTGTCATCCTCTGTGATAGTTAGAGCTGTGTGTCAACTTGTCTGGACCCCTGTTCTTTGTGGTTGTTCCCATGATGGGATTGGATGACTCTGTTCTGAGTGGCCAATCTGTTCAAGAGGAATTTCCCTAGGGGTGTGGCCTGCTTCCAGGATATCCAGGGACGTCCTGGGAAGAGAGACATTCTTCTGTGGATCAGGATTCTGTTGTGCTACCTACAGCTGTCTGTGAGTAAGCAGTCCACCGTTCGGCCTGGAGATCTTGGATTCATCATTCGTTGGAGTCAGCAGCCAGTGTACTGCCTGCCAGCCTTGAGCTTCTCAGCCTCTGTGGTTGTGAGAGTTAGGAAAAGCCTCCAGCTTGACAATTGCTCCAGGGACTTTGGACTTGCTGGCTTCTATATGTTTGTGAGCCATTTTCCTAAGATAAATTTCTCTCTCTTTATATAAGCTTTGCTAGTTTTTGTTTCTCTAGAGAACCCAGTCTAACACATCCTCCTTTAGTATGTATTATCACTTAACATCTCTTTTCTATCTTTTTGTTTCTGATTGGAATAATTAAGTAGATAACTCATCTGATAAAATTATGTGCTGTCTTCCCACATATGTCCCTAAATAGTAGGCTGAATAAATTGTATATTCATTCAGTGGAATGGTATATAGGTATGGAATGTGTCTTAGGCTGGGTTCTCTAGAGAAGCAAAATCAGTGAAGTCCATATATGTATACAGAGAGAGAGAAATTTATCTCAAGGAATGGCTCATGCAGTTGTATAGGCTAGCATATCCCACATTCGTGGTCAAACATCAAACTGGAATCTTTTCCTGTCTCAGGCAGCTGCAGGGACTGATGAACCCAAGATCAGCCAGCAGTAGTATAGCAGGCTTCTGGCTTTGGCAGATAATGAATCCAATTTGGCAGGTAAAATGACAGATTGTCAGCTCACAGGCTGGAAGACGACAGTCCCAAGATTGGCAAACAGTACCATAGGCTACTGGTCAGCGCCTAAGATGATGGGCTAGATTCAGGACCAAGATCCAGCAGAAAGCCAGAGCATTTTTTCCAGGATATCCATATGTATATTAGAGGTAGTCCATACTCCTGAAGAAACTCCCTTTCAACTGATTGGCTTCCCATAGCATATATATCGTCATGGGGGATGAGTACATCACAATTGCTTAAACCACTTAGAATCATGGTCCAGTCAAGTTGACACACACCTAAACTGTCACAGAATGCTACACAGAACAATATGAATGAATCTTAGAGACAATGTTAAGTGAAAAAAACCAGACACACAGTACTATATACTGTTCAATTCCAATTTTATAAAGTTCAAAGTAGTCAAAACATGTGGTATTAGAAATTAGGGAAGTAGTTATCTTTGGGAAAGGGTTGGTGATTAGTGACTGGGAGGAAGTACAGCAGATGTCTGGGGTTCTGAAAATGTTCTGTTTTTTGATTTGGGTGATGATTATTTGAATGTTCACTTTGTGAAATTTTGTTAAATGTACACTTGTGATTTAGCAGTTTCCCATTTGTTATAATTGAATAAATAGGTTTGTTTTTAAAAGATGGGCTGTTCCTGGTAACAAATCTCTCACGTTGGGGTTCTGTCCTAAAAAAAGGAAAAGTAATTATACCTAAAGAAGTATGCAGAAGGATTCATAAGCTAGGTATGTGTTAGTGATAAGGTGTTTTAGTACAGCATATTTTCCATCATTGAGGGTAGTTGAATAAGTCATAGTACATTAATTCTGTGGCATGTTACACATTTGTTTTAAAGAAAGATTTTATGTATCAACCTGGTGGAATTACAAAGTTAAAAAAGCAAAGTAAGGTGTATTACCTGTTTCATTTTTGCTCAAAATATGTATATATTTGCACAGATTTTTGTATGAGCCTGGAAAAAAGTATAGAAAGGTATCTTTATCTGAGGTGGAAGTGGAATTAGTGACTTATGCAAGGAAGAATATTAAGTATTTCTGTGTGTATCTTTGTTTAATTAATTACGTTTTAGCTGCTGCTCCACCATTAGCCCTTGTGTAATCTCACTGTATTGACAGTGGACTCTCTTATCTTAAGCTTCTATAATCCTATGATACTCAGCTAAACTCCATCAGTGATTGGGCCACAGATGATTATGGCTTATAATAAAAGGAGAAGGAATAGAGTATTCAGAGAGGACCTGAGCATTTCTGCATTGCATGTGACTCATAGTGTTGGCAGTGTATGGCCACATCAGAAGTATTTCCAAATAGGATTATAATCACAAATCACAGTCATATGAAATATATTTATTCCTAATACTATGGATCTGGTTTCTTTCTGTCTTCCTTTCAAGCGTGAGCAAGAAAGTCAAATGGCTCGTCTTAAAAAACAGCAAGAAGAATTGGAACAGATGAGACTACGTTACCTAGCTGCTGAGGAAAAAGATACAGTAAAAACTGAGCGACAAGAATTGTTGGATATAAGAAATGAATTGAACAGGTATCATAACTAAAAGATTATAACTTTTTTTAAAATATAAAAACAAAAGTTCTAATAGAAGAACCTTTTAATTGGTCATTGATCCTAGGATAGGTACAATTTGAAGTCTCTCAAGAATAAAGTAAATCGTATATGAAGTGTGGCAGACTTTTACAATAGAAAAATTTACACCAGTCACCATTGTATTTAATTTTCTTTTGCCATATGTTCTTTTTTTTTTTTTTTTTTTCCCATTTTACCATATCAAATCTATTTAGGTTTTTTGTTTTCATTCATAGCATTAGTACTTGGATATTTATTTTTGTGTGGGTGTTTCAGGATTGCTGCAGCTATTTTAAGGTAATTGATTATATTGAATTTTGAATTTAGAAAGCATAAGAAATTTCAGGTTTATATTCCTGATATCAGTAATAAAATACCACTTATTTATTGAGCCCTTGCTGTATGTTATGAGTTATGTTAAATGCCTTATATACCTATCTCATTTTTATTTTCAAAGCAGCTCTTTGGGGAAGGTAACCCTCCCTTTTAGAGATGAGGAAACTGAGGACCAAAAAGATTAAGTACCCCTTTCAGGGTTATGCAGCTAGTAAAGCATGGAACCACAGTTGAAATCTAATTCCAGAGATTATATTTTTAACTGTTATACTACATTGGACTTCTCTGCATTGTCATGTTGATTGTAATTATTATTTCAACAGTGTTTCGTGTTGAAAAGAAAGATAATCATTACGAACCATAAGAACAAATTATGGCGTTTTATTTCCCCCCCTGAAGAGGGTGGAAGTCCTAGCTTACCATAAGAGATTTTTGTCTTAACAAAGCATACATTTTATAAAATACCACATGACATCCCCATGTATGAGCTGGAAAAATGCAGTTACTATATTAGGTAGGGCCAGAGCTGAATTAAGCAACCATATTTAGAGTATTAGGAGTCCCTGGGTGCCGCAAACAGTTAATGTCCTCAGTTGCTACCCAGAAAGTTGATAGGTCAAGGCCACCCACAGGCTCCTCAGAAGAAAGACCTAGAGATCTACTTCCCAAAGCTCAGCCATTGAAAACCGTAAGGAGGACAGTTCTACTGTGACACATAAGGGCTGGTCATGAATCACAATTGACTTGATGGCAGCTGGAGGGAAAAAAAAATATCTAGCATATTAATGAATATCAGTTGGGAACAGTCATGGTCTGTACTGTCATACTACAGGGTTCAATCAGGACTACTATCGTATGCAACAAATATTTATTTGGTGTCTACTCTGTTACAGAGTTTTAAGATACTGCAAAATAATGAATTTTATCATGATCCTTACTTTCTAAAATTTTCCTATCATATATAGCACTTTTTTATTTTAGTTAAAAAATATGTAATAAGCTCCTGCTGTTTGCTAAGCACTGTTTGGTGACTTACATGAGAATAGCCATTTTGCTTATCAAATTTGGAAACCATAAAAAAATTGAATTATATCACTAAAGTCCTAATAAATAAGGATTCAGAGAGAACTGAAACCAACAAGATTAGATATATCAGAGCAAAAGCAGAGTACTCTGTTTAAGCTATACAGAAAATTGCTTATGTGATGGGCTACACATGATAAAATGAAAAAAAGAATTCATATGAGGAAGCCCCGGAGGATTTAAATAGCCCCAAGTACTCCTCTGGAGCTCTGGTGGCATAGTGGTTAATGCATTTGGCTGCTAACCAAAAGGTCAGCAGTTCAAACCCACCAGCTGCTGTGCAGAAGAAAGATGAGGCAGTCTTCATCCATAAAGATTTACAGCCTTGGAAACCTTATGGAACAGTTTTCTGTCCTCTAGCATTGCTATGAGTTGGAATCAGTCAGTGGCAGTGGGTAGTACTGGCTACAAAAATGTTTTCATTTACAACCATTACTAAATGTTGTCTTTATAAATAGGATGACTTTATGCAGCTGTGTCAAATTCGGTGCCTGCCCACCCATGGTAGGCACTGGCCCAAAAGGCTGCCACAGAAACACTGTAACTCATGGGCCCTGTTCCTCTCTCCTGGGCCTCAGGGATAAATTTTGTTACAGACACCAAGTTCCTAGACCTTGAGAAGAGGGTAGGTAGGGTAAGAGGGTGCAACAGACAGGTGGGCCTGTTGGTCTCACCAGGTAAAGTGAAATTTAAAAATAAATAGAATAAATCGGAGGACTTAGGATGACTTAATTGCTAATTAAACTTTTTTTTTGTAGCCAGTTACATACAGGAGTATAAAATTATATCTTAATGTATTTAATTGTACATTCTAATTAAATTAGAACATATTCTATATCCAAACTTAGTGTTACTATCACTTAGTAAGTATATTGTTGTTGTTGTTGTTAGGTGCTGTCGAGTCACCTTGGACTTGTAGTGACACTGTGTACAGCAGAACAAAACACTTCCTGGTCCTGCACCAGCCTCCCAGTCCTTTCTGTACTTGAGCCCATCATTGCAGCTACTGTGTCAGTCTGTCTCATTGAGGGCCTTCCTCTTTTTTGCTGATCCTCCATTCTACCAAGCATGATATCCTTCTCCAGGGAATGGTCCTTCTGACATGACCAAAGTAGGTGAGGCAAAGTCTGGCCATTCTGGCTTCCAAGGAGCATTTTGGGTGTACTTCTTCCAGGACAGATTTGTTAGTTCGTCTGGCAGTCCATGGTACTTTCGGTATTCTTCACCAATACCACAACTCAAAAGCATCAAATCTTCTTTGTTTTTCCTTATTGAAAACACCATGGCTTGGATTAGGCACACCTTAGTCTTCAAAGAGACATCTTTGCTCTTCACCACTTGAAAGAGGTCTTTTGTAGCAGATTTGTCCAGTGCAATATGTCATCTGATTTCTTGACTGCTGCTTCCATTGGTGTTGATTGTGGAACCAGGTAATATGAACTATTAAGTATACTATGTATGAAATATTAAGCATACTAAGTAATTATTAAAGCTTTTGCATTTTCAAGGCAATATGATCAACAGTATTCCATTGTAAATACCCAAATCGCAGTGCGGCATCTGCTCTCTTTTTTTCACCTCCTAGATGAAATCATTACAAACATAACATGTAGATATCCATACAGTTTTAAAATACAAATCCCCTTTGCACTAGGCATTCACATTTTTATGTTCACGTTTATATCTACAGTTAGAGATATAAGTTCTATAAAAGTAGGGAATTCTTAATTCACTGCAGTATCCCAAAACTTAGAATTAGTACAAGTAAATAATTGCTGAAAAAATTTAGACAAATATTTATGTTTAAATCAACAAAAGTTTAACAGCATTTAAAGATCAATAAAAAAGCATAGTTAAACATTATTATGTCCAAGTAATGGAAAATTACAAAACCATTTAAAAGAACACACAGTCATGTGGGAAATAGTCACTATATATAACAAGTGAAAAAGGTGGTATTGCATACATAGTATTAAAAATTTTTAGAGGAAATGTATATTTAAAATACATATGCGTTTTTTATCATTGAAAAGCCATACATAAAAATGTTACTGAAATTGATTATTTCCAGATGGTACTATTACAAATCGTTATTATTTTCTTTATACATCTCAAACTGTCTACAGTTTTCATATATTACTTTAAGTTAGAAAAATGCTGTTTTGTTTGTTTTCCTCCTGAAAATGTTACTAAAAACTTATTTTACCATTGGGTCATTTTTTTTTTTAAATAATGTTACAAAAACCAATACAGTATTTGTTGCCTGCTAGAGTAGCATTAAGGAACTCTGTTGGCACAGTGATTAAAGCGTTTAGCTGCTAACCAAAAAGTTGGTGGTTCAAACCCACCAGCCACTTCATGGGAGAAAGATGCGGTGGTTTGTTTCTGTAAAGATTTACAGCCTTGGAAACCCTATTGGGCAATTCTACTCTATCCTACATGTAGGGTCGCTGTGTGTCAGAATCAACTCTACGGCAGTGAGTTTTGTTTTAGTTCAGCGTGGTATTTGTTCTTGCCTTCTTAGGTTAAAGCAACAAGACCAAAAACAGTACCAGGATTCCAGAGAGATTGCAAGTGGGAAGATGGATAGTCTGCATGGCAAAGCATTGGAAGAAGGTTTGGATGATTATTTGACTCGCCTAATAGAAGAAAGGGATACCTTGATGAGAACGGGTGTGTATAATCATGAGGATCGAATAATAAGTGAACTTGACCGACAGATCAGAGAGGTTTTAGCAAAAAACAATGCCAGCAATGAATAACATTTGGAAAATATTTACAGAGACTCGGGGTCTGAATTTTCATTCATTATAAGACCCTCAAAAGAAGAGAAAAATAGAATATTTAAATGCTATTTTCAATTTTTTATAAGCAAAATTTTGTATGTTATTGTATAGTATTTATTTGATTTTATTTACTTTAGCTACCTCTCCCACTCTGGTTTTATTGTAATTGCTTTTTATATACACATTTTAAATGGCTGTTCAGTGTTTCCCATAATTTATAATTTGATAGCTAACTTTCAAAACAGCTTTTCACTAAATTTGTTTTAGGAAGAATGACTGCAGTAATTTATAGTTACATAATTTTTCATGTTGAGCCAAAAAATCACATGTTGCACTTCAACAATGCTGTGTCTTGTTCCATTCTCATGTAGGTATCTGAAAAGTTGAGACCAATTGTAAATGTAAGCAGTTTTATTTAACTCAATTTAGATGATCTGTCATATTTTTTTTCTTTAACTTGTAACATTTGCAAGTGACAGATTTGTAAGCAGAAAGCAGAATCAAGGCAGAAACTATATGACAAATCAATCATTTATTTAAATAAAATTAATACTGATTAAACATGTCTCAAGCTTTTGAATTTTCAAATCTTTAGCATACTCTTAGCTTTTAAGAATATCAAGTCATAGCTTTAATACGGTTTTCTCGATCATTGTTGTGCTCAGAATGACATATTATTCTGTTGAAATTAGAGATGTTTTTCTCAGAAATAGTGATATTAGCTGTTAATTCAAACCTTTTCTAATATAATATGGAAACAGATACATAAAGGCATTAGCTGAGAAAATAGGGTAAAAACCTACTGTTTCCTCGTTCCCCTAATTTGAATCAATCTTTATCAACAGTATATGAGATTAAGTCACTAGATTTATATACTGTCCATTTAATTATAAAGGTTCCTTTTACACTGCATTCTTCAAAGCTAGTATTTGTCCTCAAAGCAACACTTTCCACCTCCTTCTACAGGGTACTGAAAAGGTTTACTAGCAATTATACATATTGGATGAGTCTTATAAAATACATGTAGTTTTAAAACTCTGATTCCCAAAGATGATAAATTTAAGTATATACTTTAGGCAGTATATACTGTTTACTGATAACTTTCATAAAAGCAAAATGAGCTATTTGGTAACACTAAATTAGTTAATTTTCTGTTATCTTCCATAGATGTGTTTCTTGTTTGTGAAATTAAAGTTCCTACACTTATATGTGCTCCTTATTAAAGTATTAAGCTTCTAAAACAGCACAGCAGTAAATAATAATAAATGAAATTACTGAATGAGAGGATAATGAATCTGTGGATCATAGCAAAAATTTGAAATATTAATTATTGTTAGACATTTTCTCTCATTGATTTTGTGCCACATGAACAAAAGTATTTTTCTTTGGGAAAGCCTCTGATAAAATATTGTGACTTTTCACCTTCAGTTACATTGTGTGCTGAGTTTGACTATTTTCAAACACTAGAGGGGGCTTTAGATTTAAAGAAACAAAAAGGATTTTTTAAAAATAAATGTGTGGTTTATTCTGCCTTCAGTAATGTGATCATTTGGCTATGTAATTTAACAAATAAAATCATAATGATATGCATTTTTGAATTCTTGTGTAGTCCTTTACTTTTGCTTCCCAACAGCAAAGTGCTGGGCAAAGTGTTTGGCACTTGCCATTTCAAGTCACTTTATCTTTGCGTTTTTATTTTGTTCTCAGGTGCTTACATTGCAGATACATTTTTTATATGTCTTAAAATTGGGAGTATGAAATTTTAAGGCGCTCTGGTGGCATAGTGCCTGAGGTATTTGACTGCTAACCAGAAGGCTGGCAGTTCAAACCCACCGCCACTCCTTGGAAGGAAGATTGGGCAATCTACTTCCATAGAGATACTGCCTTGGAAACCCAAGAAGGAGTCACTGTGAGTCGGGATTGACAGCTGTGAGTTTGGTTTGGTGGTGAAATTTTAACACCTTTATAGTCCTTCTTCAACAGCCATTACATTTGCAAGTGACATTTAACATATTTACATTGATTGCTTTACTGAATTTTCAGTGAGTGGCAGTTATAGACTATGACCACAAGTAGAAAAATGAGTGAATGAGTGAACAAATGAATGAATAAATTTCTTAATTAATGCATATAACAGTAGATCTTTTATCAAATATTTTAATGTGAGATAAAATTTACCTTTAACATTTTTGTGATTGTATTTCAAGGACAAAGTCTCCTTTCCATGTCTAAAGCTGGCACATAGTGCATTGGAAGGATGTATCATATCTCCCAGGTATATGCTAGTAACTTGTATCTGAACCTGGGTTTCTGTTGCTTTCAGCAGAGGTGTAATGTCTGATTTAAGGGCATATAACGGCTCTGTTACCAGGAAGGACCTGTCCTTGGAGAAGGACATCATGCTAGGTCAAGTAAATGGTGAGGAAAAAAGAGGAAGACCCTCAACAAAATGGATTGAAACAGTGGCTGCAAAAATGGGCTCAAACATAGCAACAATTGTGAGGATGGTGCAGGACCGGGCAGCATTTCGTTACGATGGGGTCACTGTGAGTCAGAACCAGCTCGACAGCACCTAACAACAGAGGCTCTGCACAAACTTGGAGAAAGAGTCTAATTTGACCAGATGATTTTAGTGAATATTAATGGCTACTTTTTATTCTGAACACTGAAGGTAAAATGACAGATTCTTGAAATTTTGAAGATTGCAGTACTTCCATGTTTTATAAAATTCAGATCTTATTACCCTTCAGAAAAGAGCAACAACAAAATGAAGCAAATAAACAAAAAAATGACTGATTGTTTAATTCAGCAGATAGTTGAGACTGTGGACTTAAATTATAGAGGTTTTTTTTTTGTTTGTTTGTTTTTTAATGGGAGCTCTGGTAGCATAGTGCTTAAGGCACTTGACTGCTAACCAGAAGGCTGGCAGGTCAAATCCACCAGCCACAAGTTGGAAGGAAGATGGGGCAATCTACTTCTGTAGTGATACTGCCTTGGAAGCCCAAGGAGGGGTCACTATGAGTCGGGTCCGACTCAACAGCGCATAACAACAAGAACAATTTTTTTTTTTAATACCGGGTTACTAATTCCTTAAGTTAGACTTCGTATTTTGATGGTTTTACTGTTGATTAGTGACCCTCTTAATTGATGATTTGTTTGTGAGTATTGAATAAAGTCTAGGTTGAATGATTTTTAGTATGTTATGACTTGAACATTTAAATCGATCTTTGATATTTGTGTTCTTTCACTTTTAACATAGCCCTTATTGCCCAGACTTTTCATTGTGCAATTAGTCTCCCACCTGTTCCGTGGCAGAATCAGGAAGCTTCTTTCTGCCTGCTTCCATGACTCAGATGACAAAGATGTAAGTCATCTCTCTTCATGTAAATGGGAAAATACAGAACTATTTAAGTAATGTAAGTTTTCACTGAAACCAAAAGAACTAGATCTCTCACTGCTTTTGTTATATAACCTCTCTTTGGCATCAAGTTAGATCCACTTTTGTTAGGAATGTAACTGTAGAAAGGCTGCTATATACTTAAATCTCATTTTATTTGCTTCTCTGGGGGTTGTCTTCATGTTTTCATTAGAAATGTTTTTACAGATGTAGGCTCTTCAGATATGAAGTTGCTGAAGTGGAGACTCAGAAGTTTAGCTTTCAGATTGAAGGGGGGTGAAAATCTATTGAGAATGATTAATTTATAGGTAAATAATTTACTGACTGATACATTAATGTACAGTAATCCTTAGAGGCTTTTAAAGATGTAGTCATTATATTCTTAAGGTTTCTAAGAACGTTAAACCTGTCATTCATACATAATAGGAGAGAACTAAAATAGGATCCATTTATAATTTCTTCTTGGAACATTTCACCCACAAATTCATAGACAAATATTTTTCCTTTTCCAAAGAACTTTTCTAATAGTTGGACCACACAGCCCTTTTCTTGGTTAACATGTTAACTAGTCAAAAGCAAGCAGATACACTAGATGAAGTGCTGAATACTGCCCCCAATAATTTAATTAAAACTTGAGTATTTGTTGTTGTTGTTATGTGCCGTCGAGTCGGCCCCGACTCATAGCAACCCCTCCTTGGGTTTCCGAGGCAGTATCACTACGGAAGTAGGATTGCCCAACCTTCCTTCTGAGGAGTGGCTGGTGGGTTTGAACCGCCAGCCGTCTGGTTAGCAGGCAAGTGTCTTAGCCACTATGCTACCAGAGCTCCTATAGCAAGCAAAGTATTACTGCAAAATCCTGCTTTGACAATATTATAAATTTTATTGAATGCCAACTGATGTCTATGCCTAGTAGGTTTGTAATCTAATGTTCAATTCTTCAGCCAATTCTCACATTAAGAGAATTAAAAGCATTGTTAAAACACTGGTTTCATTTCTATAAGTTCTTTATCTAATCTGTAACAGTGAGAAGGATTTGGTTACTGAAGTTTCGATCTATTTTCTGGTGAGAAATTTTGAATTCCAAGCAAGATTATTACTGCATTGCTCATTGCTTCAGCTCAATTCAGACTGAGCAAAGTGTGATGTTCTGAAGATGGTGTGTCAAGCCAAGTACTTGAGTCATTAATATTCAGCACGTATCTTTAGTCATCTTGTTTAGATTGGATAAGATAGTACAGCAGACTGGTGTATTCACCTGATTGTTGCCTGGAGGAAGGGAATTTCAATTCCTGACTTAGCTTCATTGTTGGCAGATGAGATTAATGATCTTTTCTTGGTCTTTGGCAGAAGTTTATTTAGGTAACTGGCTGAAATTTGTCACATTTGCACAAAGAAAATAAAAGCCCCAAACAGGAAATAACTTTATAAATAGTTTTCAGAAGAAATTTCACCCAGAAACTTATTTTTGCCATTAAAAATTGAATTTTCCAGCCCACATTTATAGCCTGCACTTCTCCCCCAATTATTAATTCTCACTTTTAACCTATATCTCCTTAGTATGTAATTGTGTACCTGTTTA